TCGGCTGCCAGTTGGTGGCGCTGCGCGAGGTGTGAGAGCCGCGTCCTTTGGTCGATCAACTGGGTAGATGCCAGTATCCTCTGCTCAGATTAGGAAAACAAACCAAAAAGGAGGGGTGCCTGGGAAGCCAGTGCGAGGATATTTAGGATGCTGCGTTGATTACATATTAATAGCAACAAAGCCTAATTATCTTCTCATTCTCTCAGCCAAAATTCCACTGTGAATTGAAGCCTCGTAGGATTCACAAAATTCACAGGAGAAGCCCAGCAGGCAGTTGGCTATTTGCTCCTGGAGCTCGCAGGACAGAGAAGCGGTAGTAATCAAAAGCAATAGTTGACAAAATAAAGGGGCTGTCAGTCCTCTGTGGACTGAAGTAGAAGCTAGTGATTATGATGGAGACTGCACTACAAGTAGAGATAAAAAAGATGGACTTTTGGGCCCTTCCTGGTGGTGCAGTGGTCAGTGTGTGATGCTGTAACCCCAAAGGCTGGGAACAAAGGGGTGAAGGGCGTGAGTTGTTCTCCCCTTCACTCCCACTTTCAGAAGCTGGGCTTTTCTGTCCCCCCATGTTAGGCTTAGTTGGGATCATGACCTGGGTTGTTGGAGGAAATGGTGGACCACTCCACTAGGAAAATCAGTGCTAAGTAACTAGAGAGGAGGAGAGAAGGCCGAGGGAGGAGGAGAGAAGGCCGAGGGAGGAGGAGAGGAGGCCGAGGGAGGAGGAGGGGTAGGGTCGGAGGCTGGGAAGCTAAGGGGAAGAACAAAATGGCAGGCAACAAGCTGTGGGATGGTGCCATTTCTGTCTTGGCCACGAGGTGGCAGCATTTCCATGGGCCACGATGACCACAGGTGGGCCTTGGTTGAGCGACTCTACAAATGAGGAAGGTCTTGTGGAGAGCAGGTGCCAGGCAACCCCCACCCGGGTCCCCAAGATCTAAATCCCCTAGATCTTGATATAGCAAATACCAGTTCTACCGCTACTGTTAACCTGGTCGACTGTTCGTGGTGGCATGTTTTGTTTTTGATTATTCTGGTGTTTGGCCCCTTGCCATCCATATTGCCTTTCTGATAGCAAACTCTGTTGTCCGTTGAGAAGCTACTGCACTCCCACTAGGTGGCCACACACCCTCACGTGGGCTGAGCAGTGCCCTGCTCCAGAGGGCCCCCATCTAGACTGCTGAGAGGCACCCGCGCAACTGAGCAGTGCCTGACTTACACCTGGTAAAGCTGGTTCAGTGAGTTGCCCCCTACACCTGCCCTCCATGGAACTGCCCCATCTGACCTGGGTCCCCCACATTCTGTGACGTGCACCTCTGGAGTCACCCTGCCTCTCTTTCCAGCTCTAGGTCCCTTCTGGGTCAGCCTGCCACACTTGCTTTCTGTTGCCAATCCAGGACCCTAACAGCTCACTACCTACACCTCAAATTTCGCTCAAAATGGAAGTCAGATCTTAGCCTGATGTCTTGATTTTTGTTACTAAAGCCTTTATTCATTATCCACTCATGTATTCACCTATCCAATCTTTTTGGGTACGTGCTATATTCCAGGCACCGTTCTAGGCTCTGAGAAACAGCTGGGAAAATGCCAGATATAATCCCTGCCTTTATGGAATCTGCTTACCTTCAGAACCTGGTAAGACGATCATAACAGACTGATAATCACCAATGGCTAAAGTTCCAAATTATGAGGACTAATGTGAGGACAAAGATTAGGCAACTCTGTGGAAGATATATATATTTTTATTATTTATTTGTGCACACAGAACTGGGGTGCAGGCCAGAGGCTCAGGGGCAGTGAGAGGCTTCACCAGAGACAGAGTGGGGAGCAGAACAGGCAGATCGACGAAGTACACTGCTGAGGGGAGCAGCAGGCGGGTCAGGAGAGGCCTGCCGTCCCACGTGGTCACCTCCGGGGCGAGGATTGAACTCGTGCTGAAGTGGCTTTAGCTCCTTAGTGCAGCGCTTTAACCCATTGCGCCACCAGGGAGGGCCCACGTGGGAGAGATTTTTATTTTAGGCAGTTCCTTAACGGGAGCAGAATGCACGGAGAGACTTGAAGGGACTGCTGAAGCCTCACGCAGTTGAAGGGCTGAAGGCCGCTGTCCCTGTTACTGCTCTGGAAGCACCTGGGAATCAACCTGTTTTTGATGGAACAAAAACAATCCCTTCTCTCCTCCTCCGGATGGGAACAAAGCTTGAGCCCCTCTTGCCTATGAGGCCAGACTTCAAATGGTGCGAAGACTGGGAGGATGTGGAAACTGTCTTCATGACCACAGCCTCTGCTCCATCTCAAACGCCTGGGTCTGGGTTCAGCCCTTCGTGGAGATCAGGAAGACTGAGTGTGTGCGAGAATGAATTCACTGTGGGGGTGGAGCGTTAGGGACAGGCCTTCTGCATACACTGCTCTCTCAGTGCAGGGACCCAGGAAAGCGATGCTGTCTGCATTACCACGGTCATGTGGTGGGCACAGTAGTCGGGACGCAGAGCGGGTACTAGGCAGGAATAAAGGGACCCCAGGACATCCCCAGGAATCCTACAGAAAGGCTGGAGTCTCCTCAGCTACAATAAAATAAGCATTTGGGTCTTTCTATCTACAAGGGAGTCACTGATTCCCTTAGTCACAGCACAATAGAGCTGGAGAATCTATGTCTAATTATTGAAGAGGAAACAGAGCCCAGGAGAACCTGGCTGACATGTCTGTGGTCACACGGGGTTAAGGGAAGAGCACATCCATGCTTCAAACTCCAAGTCTTTATTTTTTTAAATCTCATGCTGCCCGTTCTACTAAGTTCACCCTGAAATTCTCTCCATTTTGTCTCTCTTGAGGTATCAAACCTGCTCTGCGAGTGCAGGGTTGGGAGGAACCAACAGGATTGGAGGGGAGGCGGAAGCTGGCAGGTCTCAGAGTTCCCATCCTCAGGCTCCCCAGCTCACGCCTGGGCGGAGGTTCAGAACTCAGCTCAGCTGGACAGCTCCCGCGCTGCAGGGCCAGTCTGAGTCCTTTGACAGGCGGGTGCTTTCTGAGGAGTCAAGGAGCTTCAGGGAAGCAACAAACCCCCTCTTCTGGTTTTATACCTTGACTGCAGCGGGACACTAGTCTCGGGGAGTGGGTTTGGGGTGCAGGGGCAAATAGAAGTATTCTTTGTTTACCTTTGCACTCTGGTCTTGCGTTTGCACTGTGTGGATGAGCCCCAGTGTCACCCAGGCCCAGCTCTCCTCACCTTTGAGCCCCAAGATCCTCTGTCCCCTGGTAATTGGACCAACACGCCATGGTTGTGAGTGGTGACCTGTGTCGCTGGTGTTTCCCCTCTGTTCTAAGGAACAAGGAAGCCCGTGCTGAGGAGCCGGCTCACAGCATGAAGTAGTGAGAAGACGGAAGACAGCTGCCCTTGAAAGATGCCTCTGGCGGGCCAGTGTGAAGTCAGTCACGCTTGGGGCCATTTGTTACGGCACCAAAACCTAGCCCGGGCTGACGGAGGCACATATATCTTCACCATGGTCTAAACGGTCACGTGTACATATAAAAAAAAAAATGAAGGTGTTACTTTTGTAGCAGTTACCACTTGGGGCTTTCTCACTCCAGATTTTACAAAGGATGCAGGTACCACCTCCAGGAAGCTTTGTTCAAACTACACTTGTTCCTCAACCCAGATGGCTTTGCCCTCTGCTCTGGGCAGGGAGGGTCCCCACAAATCTCACTGTCCTGTGTACCTCCACCGTGAGGCTGGGGAAGCCTCGTTATCACACTGGATGTGGAGCTAGCTGTTACCAGAGGCAGCAGGCTCCCCAGAGGGAGGCAGTTTATCAGGTCACAGACCCCCAAAACTCCCAGGAAAAGGGCCAAGATTCCAGGAGACCCCTGACAACTCTCCCCACCCTGTCCCGTCTCTGAGATTGCTGACCCGCCCGGGCCGCCGTCAGTCCATGGAGCACGTTTATGCAGCGTTTAACAAGGTGCCCTTCCTAGATCTTTGTACTCATTCAACCGAGGGAATTTTTTTTTTATAACACAGTTTTCATTGTTGTCTTTGTATATTCATTTTTTTTTATTACAAAAGTTTATTTTTACATCATTTTGTACATTTTTTTTCATCTCGATTGTAATCCCTGTGGTTTTCCCATCACCAAATCACCCGTGTGCCATCACCATAGTCCCGTGCATTTCCCTCCCCCCACCCCCCTGTTTTTGATCCCATTCCCCACTCCACCCCCACAGAATGTCTCTGGTCTATGGTTGTTCATTATTTTTGTTATTTTCTCGCCTGGTCCATTATACTCCTGCTAGGAGTGAAACCATCCGGTATTTTTCTTTCTCTTTCTGGCTTATCTCACTCAGCATGATCTTTTCCAGCTCCATCCAAGTTGCTGCAAAAGACATGTGTTTCTCTTTTTCGGTTGCTGAGTAATATTCCATTGTATATATGTACCACATCTTCCTAATCCAGTCATGTACTTTTGGGCATTTGGGCTGCTTCCATGTTTTTCCAATTGTAAATAAAGCAGCAATAAACATGGGGGTGCAGGTATCTTTTTCAATCAGTGTTTTTGTGTCTTTTGGGTAGATACCTAGGAGTGGGATTGCTGGGTCATAGGGAAGCTCCATGTTGACCAGTTTGTGGAGCCTCCAGACAGCTTTCCATAGTGTCAACTGAGGGAATTTTTAAGTCCAGCAGACAAATCTCGGCTAGGTGTGAGGTGAATGCGACCCCTCAAGGCTGTACAGTGCTCAGCCTGTGCACATCCGCTGAGCACCTGGACACCCCTCAGCACCCCCACAGCTGTGCTTCCTGCACTCAGTCGGGACAAGGTGCACTGGCATCTGAGGCTCCCGGGCCTGTCCGGACGTCGCGCTCCCTGGGCCTTCCAAGAGCCCGCTCTGCGCAGGGAACAGTCTCTGATGACCCTGCAGTGCACAGGGTGTCCTGCGGCAGGAGCTTGGGCCGGGCCAGCCGGCACTCAACTAGCCCCCGGAGGCCTCCGGAAGCGCTGGGACATGAGGGCTTAGATGACGGGGTTGACGGCGCTATTCAGGTAGAGGCAGAGGCGGAAGAAGAGAAGGAAGCTGGGGTTGAGGTAGGGTGGGTTCAGGAAGGAGTTCACCACCACCAGGGTGTGGTGGGGCAGCCACAGCAGAGCGAAGAGGACCACACCACAGCCAGCATCTTGGTGACCTTGGGGACGAAAGGAGAAGAGGAACACACGGGCGTCAAGGGGGATGCCTGCGCCCAGGTGGTAAGGAGGGAGCCCAGGGGCAGCCAGGCCCCTGCGAGCTGTGCCCTCATGCCGGCGCCCTGCCCACGCCAGCCCCGGCTGAAAAACCACTGGCGTCCTCTCACCGCCTGCTCCTTCCTGCTGGGAGAACGCCCGTTCCACTCTACCTCCGAAGCCCTTGGACAGCTCAGGGCTCCCTGAGGTCAAATTCCCGAGGGCACTGTGTGACAGAGACCTGGACAGCCTTGCCACGGTGT